CATCAATTCGATTACGTGTGGAAGATGTGTTGTCCCGACTTCTTGAACGTAAAGGCTTTTTAGCAGAGCTGGGTTTCGATACTTCATTCACTCCAAGTCTAATCAAATACAAAGAAATTTATTTATATATATATTATTACCGAATAAATATTAAATTACCCTAAGCCTTCTACCATTGCTTCCTTTGCTGCTTCAATAAGAGGATATGGTTTTCCTGTACATGACCCACGAAAGTCATCATTATCGATGGCCCAAAACATAATACCACCCAAACCTTGTTCAACTACATATTCTGCCTTTTTGCGCACAATATCTTCGTCATCATATCCCACCCATTGATTACGTCTATAAGCATAAGGACCCATGGCAGTAGGATTAGGCTGTACTACTGTCCATTCAGGATCTTCCTTAAGATTTTGACAAATCTAAAAATATTGTTTACGAAGTTTTAGTCAAGCACAAATTGTTTTGTCATGAAATAAAATATTATAAATCAACAGACAATTATATGTTATATAAAACAACTATTCATACTAACCTCATAATAAGCTAAATAACCTTTTTCTCTGGTAGCATCGCCTTGCTCTCCTGGACCCTCAGAGGGTGCTCCAAGCTCTGTGCTTTCTTCATTTATTAAGGTGTATGAGCGACCGTATGTTGGTATACCAAGTACTAGTTTATCTCGGTCTGCACCAGCTTTCAAATAATATTTTATTGAATAATCCTAAAACAAATATATTATTTATAATTTGTAATGGCTCAAACGACTATTAACTTACAATGTTCAACTCTGAATCATAATTGTATTCGGATTCCTCTTCAAGTGAGTATAATGGTGCATGATGATTTACAGAAGGTTCATGTGATGAATGAAAGTCATATGTCAAAACGTTAAACCAATCCAAATACTTGTTTAGTTTTGGTATGTCATAACCTTTGTCGATATATTCAATGCCTGCAGGCACGGCCATTGTCAGCAATAAACGTGGACGTCCGGTTTTTTCTGCCTCACGTTCGAATTCAGCACGCAATTCCTGCACGAATTGTGCATAATTGTCTCGGTCGCGCGGCTTGCCACCCTCACGATGTGCTGGATATTCCCAATCCAAATCGATGCCATCAAAATGATTTTGCCGCAAGAACTTTAAAATGTTTTTAATAAACTTCTGTCTACGCTCCGGGTTAGCAACGAGTGGAGAGAAACGTGAAGATGCCTCATTCCAACCACCAATAGCAATCATCGTTTTCAGTTGTTTATTATATGTTTTCAGGCCAGTGAATTTAGCATAGCCACCTGTGTTCATATGAAAACGAAGAGCAAAGAAAAGGAGTTGCATGAGTGTAAACGTAGAGGAAGTCTATAAAATTTATATTTAGTATCGAATAATATGGCGCATTTCAAAGTATGCAACTCATCGTTTATTCAATTATGCAGACATGTGTAGACCTGTATGTTGTGCTTACCTTGCTCGATATCCTGATATTTATCGAATGGTTTCATTTGATTGTCTTTAGTGAATCCACCAAATGCATAAACCAAATGTGTGCACAAATATGGATTTATGTTTTGTGGATTAAATTTTGCTGTGCCAGGTCGGTAAACACTCCAATTTGTATAGTAACAAACAACTCTTCCCTCGGAATCGACTTCTGCAATCAAAATTTTTTATATTATAATAGGATGAAGCAAGGAGTTTCAAGTAATTTTACTATATGGTACGGCTGGTATGAAATTAATTACATTAAGCTATGACTTTTTGACATAACAATTATGATAGAGAAATGTAAAAATACTGCATTTATATATTATATTAAAAATGAACCACTGCACTTACCATTTGTAAGAAGTACAACGATGAGGAAAAAAAGGGCTTGCCAAACCGCTCCTCGCGGAAGCTGAAATGAAAAATTTCAAAATTACGATTAATTTTAGATAATACTAGAGTATTTCAAATCAATTTAAAATAACGTTAGTATAAATATATTTAAAATAACTGATACATATTTTTTTAAATGTATATCCGTATTTTTTTTAATCATTTAATCCATTATAATGGAATTATCAATTTTATGGAATTGAATGTAAAAATATCTATGTACTGAACTAATTTTGAAGATCTTATCATGCATTTTTCTTGGTTATATGATTCTGTAATTATTTCGCGGATAGAGTAATACTTTTAAACGCTTTGTATATATATACTTAAATGAGATTTGAGATTGGATTTGAGATTACAGTGTCAGGTTTACAGTTAGAACAAAACCCTAAGACTATTCTGTAACTCACTTTGCCTTTAGCTTTGCTTGTACCTATCATTTATACCCATTCTTTCCGACTAAGAATAAGGATAATATTTATGGTATTTTGAATACAGAAGTGGAACTTTTTAAAACACTCGGAATTCTTACAAGCCATTTTTCTTCGAGGACTTATGTATGTCTGTTGACTTAATCAGTGAATTCCTTCTTTGAGTCTTATTGCTTTTTGTGATTAATTGAATAATTTATTAATTTGTAATTAATTGATTTCAACAAGGTTTACTCCTGCTGTAAAATTATGTTAAGTTTAATACTATAATACTTTGAAATCGTTACTATTGCGACACTCCAGGTAGCTGTCCGGTTCGTACGTACTGCTACGGCAGCACATTCTATCTTAGTAGAACTAAGCTATGGTTGTTGGTGGTTTATCTGTCGGGTTATGATGACCTACGTTATCATTTTAACAAGATGGATATCTCTAAGAGAACAGAGTGCCGATATTAGGATATCCTCAACAGTTAACATTCTGGCTTTCATTTAAAGGATGCAATATGTTTTGATCAGTTAGGATCGGTACGAAGCATAAAAGGGCGCGTACATTTTCTATTCTACTTTTCAATTGTATAATACTATATGAAGAGGTTTTCGAACAGAAGTGAAATAACAACAAAAATTTATTTTTTAAATTATTTTAATTAATTGAATTTTTGGCTGACCATACAGCTGTTTCGAGTATTGCCAAATACCCTTCATCAGTGGTCTTGGAAATAATTCTTGTATTTAATTATTCGTAAATAATTATTTTTGAGACTGCAAGTACCAGGAATCGAACTCCGGGTCCTGCCAAATGTGAAGCTCAGAATCAGCGCACCTTAACCAACTGATCCAAAGCCGTACTTGAACTTTTTGTTCGCTTGATATTTTTGCCTGAGGTATGATTTGTTATTAACAATTTTAACTTGCTGTATTTATATATTAGAACGAAATCATAAAACCAGCTGTAGAATAATTGAATTAATTAATTAAATTATATTTTTTTTTATTTTTTAATTGTTAAATCTCAAAACTATTCTATTCGTAGAGGCATTATTTGTTGCATGATTTGTTCTTTCTTATGTATAGAACCTAATCTAGGAACGTAATGCTGAGAAAGTCATGCTAATGTTACTCCACTAGTCGCACGGGCGAGAACCAATATTTATTGGCGAGAACCATATTTTTGTGAATAAGTTGTAATTTAACGTCAAATTTTCCAGACGAAAGTGACTATTATAGTTTTAATAGAAACTTGTTATATTTACATAAAGAGGTTTTCGAACAGAAGTGAAACAACAACAAAAATTTATTTTTTAAATTATTTTAATTAATTGAATTTTTGGCTGACCATAATACTATATGTGAATAAACTAAAAATAGTTAAGTTCAATATAAAGTAATCCAATTTTTAGAATATTTTTTAGTGAGTTCTGCAATAAAATCTATTACTTATTAAATAGATCTTTTCACTCTTTGCTTAAGATGCGAGCCCCACTCACGAACACCATAACGAACTGGGGACAGAGAAACAAAATGATAATGAAATGATAGTGACACAAAAAATGTAGTACTTGGTATCATTAAAATTTGTTGGTTATATATCCGGTACCATACTACTGCTTGTAAACATGAACGCTTATAGTAGATGATAAGATGAGTGTATAAAATATTTCAAAGGAATTGTCTTAGAAAACACATCTAGCTCAATACCATTTTTTTTAAATTTTAGAGATTGAGTTCAATCGAGCATGTAGTGAGGCTATATTTTTTTAAAATGTCGAAGAACGCACATTTATAAAAAAGGGAACGCATAATACAATAGAGAGTACCCATGACTAAAATAAAGAGAAGACTTCAATGAAGGTTTTCAATGAAGCCATTAGAAATTTGATAGTTTCTGTGACTGAAATATCTCTATGGAGGCAAATTATTTTGTCTATGCCAAAGTTCGCTATGGGCTGTAAAGTCGAAGGATGACGATAAATTAATTATTGGCAATAAATCAGATAGTTTTATTAAATGAAAATTTGTGAATGGAATCCATTGTTACTGAAACAATGACTTAAATTCAAACCTAAAAAACAGTAAACTATTATTATTAATAATAATAGTAATATTTTTCCTGTCTTTAATATATTGTTTTAATGTATTTTCTTTTGAAAACCTAAAATTTTTATAACTGTTCATTAAAAAAATTATTTTATAAATAAAATTCAATGAATCGAAATAACAGTGAATGAATATTGTATTTTATTGTAATAAAATTTATTTCAAAATAGATGCTATTAGGTTTTTAATGTGTGAACTTCATCTTTGTGGTAGACACACAGACAAATTAAAAATATTAACTGCCATTTATATTAATTTAAATACTTAAAATAAACAATAAAATCCAATCAAATTAAAATTAATTTTTTTATTAAATTATAAATTTCAAAAATAAATTTAAAACAAAGGTTTTTAACATTGACACAATAACACCGATTTAAAAAATATTCTGCGTCACCAGAAACGTCTTAT